TTCTCCCTCGAACTCAGTCGGCACCTTGTGGAAACTGTTAACGATCTTTAAACGTCAACTGACATACATTCTCCAATGATGTGTGCGGGGGAAAGAGTGCGAAAGAATCGCCAGAAAGAGACAGGGCATGGTTGAGTGTGCCATGCGTAATGCCAAAATGTTCTACATACATTTAAGTTAAATGCCAGCCATATACAATCCTCAGAGCAGCTCCTCTTGGAAATTACGTGACACATTTCTAAGAAAGCAAAACTAATGTCACTGAGCTTCAGAGATATATATGCCGGAAAAGTAGGGGCACTGGGGTAGTTTAAGGGGTTCTGGCTTGACAAGTTGGCATCATGGAAAAAAGCTAGCCCAAACACTTTAGATGTCATTGTACCGCATTTAGATTGAGTTGCTCTCCAAAGGCGGCAGCAGCACCAGCAGCCAAAACATAACACCAACTTGAGGAGGAGAGTACGGAGTGCTTTTGGGGTTACTTTGGAATGGGTTTCCCGGCCCCCAAAACTCCCAACTCCCCACTTTTCCGCCCAACTCCCCCCGAGTGGTTAGTGTCACTTAAGACCGAGACTTTGGCACTCGCACATGCAGATGGATGCCAAGGGAGATGGATAGCGAAAATGTTTCTGTACGCTCCTTTGGGGTACCCTTAATGTGGCTGGAAATTGGTGTTTTATGAGAATGTGAGGGGTCAAATTATGTGAGATTTATCAGGCTATTTATGCTCTGTTTTGTTAAAGAATTGATATTTTAAACATGAAAGTAAACTCCAAGTTTAGTAGACAAATATTTTAATATTTTTTTTTAGTATGTATTGTGCAGATGTGTTTTTGATTGAGTAATGATTATTATATTTCCTTGAAAAAATTGTAATATACAAATCAAACAATCAATTCAATTTATGAATTAAACTTAAAAAAATAAAATTAGTTATTTGTAAGAAAACATTATCAAACTTATTTAAATTGTAAGGTGCAGAAATATATTTTAAGTAATAACAATAAGATAATTACTTATGAACCCATCCCAAACAAGAATAAATATTTACACTGTCTTTTTTTAGGGAATAGCCCCACAAATAATTGTTTTTTAATGGTTTTCCTGAGTGTCTAAAGTTTCGACCGAAAACCACCTGTCCCTTTTGCCTCCATTTCGGTTTTTGGCTTGCTAACTGCGCACTTGTAAATAATTGTCTATGTAAAGTTATACAACATCATTGCTGCTGCTTCCCCATCTTCTTTGGCCGACACGCCCCCTCAACCGCCCACTTGTGCTTCCTCTTCTTGCAAAGGTTCTAGGGCCGAGCTCTCTGCATGCGTTGTGCATAATTTGAGTGGATTTCGAGGGGTATTCAGACATTCATACATGTAGCAGCGCATTAAACATAAATTTGCAACTGCAGTGCGATAAAAAATTTATAAGTCAAACGCAAATATTTAATGTGCAAACACACATCGGCCGTAGTGGCCATATCGTAGGATATTTGCCCCGCAAATAAGCAAATATTTGTGACCGGCTTTTGGCGCCGGCTAAGCCTTAACCATCAAACACTCCACACCTGTCAACAACATTATCAATTAAATTTATGAGCCCAGTGGGCCTAAATCGCTTCTAGCTGTCTAATGAGAATATCTAACATGTTTGGCATCTCTGTGTGTTTGTATACCAATCGAAAATATTGTAAATTAAATCGCTTGAAAACTTTTAACCTGCATGGACATAAAAACGGACAGAAAGATACCAAAGCAAAAGGAAATTATAATTGTATATAATCGAAACTTTTAATTGCTTTATTAATTTAACAAATTTGATTCATTTCTAAACATGATTTTTAATTCTCATTTATTGAGTTTATTTCGTAATACGATTTGAATCTCCTATTTGCACAAAATTCTTATGAAATTAATCTGAGCTTTTTTCTATTTGTTTGTCTTCGGTAAATATTAAAATCTCAGCTAAAATGCTTTAGATGTTCACTAATTGGAAGCTTTAAATAGCAAAAGAGTTTATCAATTGAATTAATTTTTTTTTATAAAATATTTTTTTTCCACTCCACAAATTTCCTAATTTTTGTTAAATTTAAATAAATTAAAAATTATTTAGTAATTACATTCAAATGTATTTTTTTAGTTTTCTGATAAGGGACAAAAAAGTTTAACTCAGTCATCGATCTATAAACCTATTTATTGGTACAGTTAATCCCCAGTTTCCCAGGCATAAGCTCCTATGTGTGTGTGCATAACCGTATCTATCAGTGGCCAATTGATCTAGCAAATAAAGCACAAATTGTGCACTTCCGGAGTGAATGTGCAATGTGTGTCCCCCAACCCATCTCTTTGTTTCATCCGCTCTGTCGATTCGGCAGGGCATATATTTCCCATAACTGATTAACGTTCAAATTGTTATCAATTTGTAATTACGAAGGCCCTGTTGGGCTTTTGGCTCTATGCAGCGATAGAATTTCCACTTTTCTACCTGCCTCTCTTTAAACAGATACTCTTTCCATTGCGTTTTACTCCCTCCTGCTGTTTTTGCGAGGAAAGTGTTGGCTTGGCATGAAAAAGCGTTTGCGGTTGAGAGCGGCTGTTGCGGTTGTTTTCCAACACCCCCGCAGCTCGTTGAAAATGCAATTGCAGCAACAGGAAATAATACCCTAGAAAATCATTGGCGGGAAATGCTGGAAAAAATAAAAAAGGCTTAAAAAAAATAAATATCATTTAAAAACTCATCCTTACCTTCATACCTACATATTAAACTTTAAAATATTTAAATTTTGAATAAAAAATTTGCACAATTTATCAGTCATTATTTGTTAGTTCTTAACATTTAAAAGGTGTATAATAAATCAATTTTAGATAAAAACTAACCTAACCTAACTAACTATAACCTCACTTAAGTCCCCAAAAACTCAAAATTTAATAGCACCAAAGAGAACGCGTACAACGAACAAAATATCTCCTCATTCCTTGATAAGTAAGTGCTTGCAGCATTGTGATCAATTTTACAAGTTTCTAACAAGACATTGTAACTTTAAAAGATGGAAAATCCGAAAGATAAATTTGAAAAAAAGAGAAAAGGGAAATAAACAAGAGTCGGACAAATAAGCAAATCAAAATGATGCCAACGAGTGGCACGAAATCAAATTGAAATTGAAACTAGACAAAGTGAATTGGCAGGGAGCCACAGTTGCCATTGTGCCATGTGGGTATTCGAGGGGGGATAGGACACCGATGTGTTATACAATATTATCATGCTTATATAATTTGCCCGCACACACACACACACAGACACATATCGAGATGTAGAGACAAACACATGCGAAACTGCGATAAAGCTCGAGTAGCAAAGTTGAATGGCTGTCTCCATCGCAGGACGCAGAATTTTTGGGAAAGGGAATTCCGGCGTATCAAAAGTTATTGTGCCTGTGTCCCAGTATGTTCGACTGGAGCCAAGGATTATCAAAGTATTAGAGGAGCAGCGCTCCAGACTCAGATACAGACTCAGTTTTAGCTTCTGCGCCGGCTTCATCTTGAGCTTTGACTGCTCCTAAGTTTTCGCACTTTATGGGACATCGTTGTCGTTGTCGCTGTCCTGCTTGCCAAATGCCTCGGGGACTCATGTGGCAGGCTCGACTCGTCATAAAATCCCACACCAAAACACTGCGAGTGAGTAGTGCAAGCTTTAAAACTAAACAATTGCTTTAAAAGTTGAATTTAGAAAATATAGAGGCGGATATTGTTTTATAATACACATAAATACTGGTAAAAACGGTTGCTGGGCAAAGGATTAGTTTGAACCTTAAATATATATTTTTTTACTCAAAATGGTAAATTATTTTTTAATAATGTTTAAAAATATAATTTTATTATTTAAAAATAAAAACCATGTATTTAAATACTTAATAAAAATTTTACTAACCGTTTTTGATCTCAGTGCAGCCACCACAGTGAGTGGAAATCGCAGAAAACGGAAGCTGGGCCAACGCACATGCATAAGTGAAAGACAAAAGACGCCAAAAGACAAAGGCAGTGGCTAACAAGAAAATAAAAAAACATGAGATAGGGGAAAGCAATAGGAACTAACCGGGCAGGGGGCCGAAGTTAAAGGACCAGGAATTGCAACTTGCTGCGACATGTAAGAATTATTATCTGCTCTTGCACTTTCAAGTGGCCCCCAAAGAAAAAGAGAGGGAGACAATGAATAATGTCCTTGGCGCGCAATGCGGAAATGCAGGCTGCTAGGACCCAAAAGGATTCAGCAGTAGGTAAATAAAATATAGCCATAAAGGAAATATGCTTTCGCGTGCATTTCAATCGACATAAAATTTTACAACCGTCGTTTTATTTTCACTCAACAAACAAACAAACGCTCACACACAGAATCTATAAAATAAACTAACAACTTTTTCGAACTCCGGTTTTTTTTCACATTTTTGGCAACAGAAATTCCATAAATGTCTACTGCGCATTGAATTTCTGCGGTACGCGGTTGAAGGGTGTTTCCATTTTGCAACTCTCTACTAATTTGAACATTGTTTGCTGTTTCAAATATGTTCAACGCCCTCGCCTTTTCTGGCACTTATTTGGCCAAAGGCCAAATTATTTTGCCCTGGCTGGCTAACGGGGCGTATGCGTAATGTGCTGCTTTGCTAACTTCGCTTTGAAGTGGCCCACGTGAGCATAGCAAACAATGTGCCATTGGGCATTTTTCGATATTTGCGAACAGGCTGCTCACTTTGTGATGTTTTGTTTTCCTGTATCTGTGCATTTGCTATTTAATGGTGGCCAATTAAAATTTAATCAGTTTGCTAATTGAATTGCGTATTATGTGGGTCAGTTTTGGTTTTTAATGGTTTGAGAAAATTTGAAATGGAGTTGAAAATTCGTATCACTAGCTGAGATTGGAATAGTTAAATAAAATTTGGTTAGAAAATGTATTATTTGAAAAATAACATTTAGATGGCAGTAAAGCGATTATAAAACAATGTTCCAAATTAATTAAGTTTTCAAGCGAAAATGCTTTATTATGCTTAAGATAATAGGGGCTTTAAATATGGCTTTTTTAATATTTAATAAACTAAGCATAGTCGTCTAGCCTCATGAAGTCTTTTATATTAATGACTTTTTAGATCAAACTTATTTCATGATTCATTGCTGGTAAACGGTTTCAATTTGATTTTTCTCAATGCTTACATACTCTTCATCTTCCTCGTGATATGATTTCCATATGATGTGATTCTTTAAAACCATTCACTAGAGTTTTCTTTGCATAGTTCCTCGCATTCTTTGAGAGTCTTGAAAAAGTTCTTAATTCCTCTACACTTTCCGCTGGTCTGATGGCATCTATTTTTACCAAGATCGTAGGTGTATCCCTTATCTATTCTACTGCATACACCCATATATTCCACAAAAAGTTCACATTTTCCTAAAAAAACAGATATGTCAACGATAGTATTCAGTTGAATGTTTTTTGTTAACAACACGTACTTTTTGTGCCCAGTACGAAACCAAATAAATATAATGCACACACTAAGAAGAAGATCTTCATTCTGAGTTTGGTTTTGAATGCAAGCGTGTTTTTAAAGAGACAGATTAGCAAGTTTAATGAAAATATTAACACTTTAATATCTATGACTAATAAATCTCGGTTTGGTATTATATGGTTTACCCTTTTAAATAAATACAAATTTTTTTTTATTATCTGAAAGCAGTGGTTTCAAACATTTTCCTTTCATTTTGCAACTTGCCGTTTGTACATTTTTTAAACAACCCTCATATCTTTCTTTGATCAGAATTCCCCTCATCCACTTTGCGAAATAAAATCAAAACCACATTATTACCTCGCAGCCATACCAACAACATCCCCGAGTCATTTGTATTTATTTCTTTGTATCCGCAATGCAAATGAAGTTGTTCCTCTGGCTGTTACAGTTCTATCTTTGTTTTTATTATTTTTGCAATTAAATTTCATTTGTGGAAACACCCACATACCCACAAATGGAAGTGCCAGAGAGAAAAACAGCAAGAAGCAATTGCTGTGAAAGAAGTTGCCGAAAAAAAGGGGAGAAAATGCCTGTCAGGAAAAGCGGAGGGAAAAAACAACAAATAATAACGGCGTTGATTTCATTTCTCCTCTGGACCTCCGCCCTTCTGGCCCTTTATTTTGACATCCCCTTCCATTGGCCGTCACTTTTTCGAGCTATTTCCTCTTTTTTGCCCGCTTTGTTTGTCTACTTGTTAGCAGCCGCCTTGGCATTAACACGTTAAAAATTCGCCGTCCACTTGTCCGCCATGCCCTCCTCTTTTCACTATTTCCGCTTCCTTTTAAGTGAGCAATAAAAAACAAAAATCAACGAGCTTTCTGTCGCCCAACGCCTCGTTATTTGTTTGGCCATGTTTACGGAAATCATTAACATTTTCCTCGAGCTCCTAGCGCTGCTCTAATGAATTGGAACCCCCAAGAAAATGACTGAGTAAAAACAGAAAAAAATGCTACATAAAAGTAATTTGCAAATTGAAGATACAAGATGGAAGAGCCAAAGAGGAATATTTTTAGCGTCAGAGCTCTACTTTATTTTATACAAACTTTTACAAATTGTAATGTATTTGCTTTAAACTTAAATAATTTTTTGGTTTTTCCGTAATCGAATGATTTGCTTTTAGTTTATAATAAGCCACAGTTTAAAATTCAGTGAAACCATACGTGAGAATTGGTTCCGCTGATTTATGAGGCTTACTTTGAAAGTGGGTAATTGCCGTACTTTTCATACACTTTCCCCCATTTTCCAGCTTTTCCCGCACTATGATGGCCTGCTTTTCATGCCCCATAACGCGATCCCAATGGGGCTTTTCCCCCAGCCACTCGGCACAACTCAACTTAACTTTTCACTTTCAATTTGCCAGGCTCTGCGGCCCATAAAGCGGGGCATTTATGGCCAACACGCGTGGCCAACACATTGAAGCCCGCACAGCCCACCGAAAAAAGAAACTTTCATAATTCATAAGCTGCAGGCATAAATTGCCGGCTGAGAAAATCTACTAAGCTCACGGGGCATCACTCGGATTTACACTTTATAGGGGGCCAAGTGTGGTATGAGATCCGTGCGAAGGCCACAAATCATGTTTTAACAACTTAATAAGTTGGGAATCGCCGGTCCAACCAACCGAATTTGAATATTGGCCCAGAGACGGGACATGTGTCTAACATTTCTGTTTTCCTCAGCCAAATTTACCCCGGCTTCCACCTCATGACGTCCACATTTTTTCCTGCTATATCATCAGAAGTTGAAAAAAAAAAATGAAGAGGAAGATGAGAGACCACTCCTCGATGCTTTTTATTTGCGCTGGCTTTTTATGACATTTCAAGGGAAAATTTATATAATAATCATAAAAGCGGGAGAGCATGACCGTTGCGGAAATGCTGCGATTTATTTGTATTTGCAGAGTCTTTTCCGCTCACAATGTTTGTGTTTTATTTGCAGCCAATTGATTTGACTGGCGGCGGCAACTGGTAAAAGCGATGATGGGTATGGTTTTTTCTGGAAGTGGGTGTGCGTTTCCTCATGTTTTTTTGGTGCCCGGGGTTTGTTTTTGGCGACTGCGAACATAAAAGTGTAACATCATATGGCCGGAGCACTCGTCTTTCGGTGCACGAAGCCATCATTGTTGCCACTGCGGCTCACTTTATGTGGCATGAATGCTTTTATGACCGCCCACATATCGCAGGAGAAAAAGTGGGAAAACCGGGAAAAGCTTGCACGGCAGTTCAGCCGTTTCCCTGGGCATCAAATCAGGAAATGGTTGCAATTAAAGTGTAAATAATGATGCAGCTAACAATGAATTACGAGTGGCTGGGGAAAGGGAAAAGAGCGAAAGCAGTTGTTTTTGGCAAGTGTTTTATGCCATCGAAATTTTTAAGCCTAAGTGTTCTGTGCCCTTTGGTTACTAAACACAAACAAAGGAAGAAAAATGGCTTATACTGTGAAGTTAAAAAAATATACCTGCTTACAATAGTCAAATCATATTAATATAAATTTGCTTTTTCAAACTAATTAAAAATTCTATTTTTTTATTTTTTGTAAATATTCTTATAAATAAATTGAAAAATTTTGAGTCTAAGAAAAAACAAAAATACTGTTTCAAATGGGGCACTACAAAATTTTTTTTTTTTTTTAATTTTGTACAACATCTCAAAATTTTAACGCATTTACCAAAATTAACAATTTCTCCAAGCAAAGTAGGCCCGAAAGGAAAATTCCAGTCAATGTTCAGGTTTTCCTAACCAAATATTTAGTTAACCCACAAAACTTCACAAGGAAACATCTAACTTTCAATTTTTATTTTACTTTTACAAAAACTATCAGAATGTTGTAAGTTGAAAAAACCAAATTAGCACTAAAAATTTGTTTATATAAAAACTTATTTGATAGTGAATCGTTCGACTGGAATTCGGGACTAGATTTGAAGAATTATCGCGATGTAAAGCAGCGTGTTGTGAGGAAAATCGGGGATCTGGAGCGCAAAGGAGTAATGTGGGGTTGTCTCATTGGCATCGAAGATGGCAAGGATGATGCTTTATTCCGTTTCTTGAGGGAGAACGCTTAAGCCGGCTCACAAAATTGGAAAAATGTATAAATGAAATACATATTACAAGTTATTTTAAATCAGAGACAAGAAAATACTCATACTCAATAATTAAATAAAATGTTTGGGTGTAGTTTTTGACACTCGTATCTCAATTATTCGCTTAGCCTTTTATTGTGAAGCCGGACAGCGATTCGACCGCAAAATGGGAAGGTAAAAAGGATACCCTGAAAAAAGGAAAAATTCGAAAACTTTCCACAGGTTCAGCCGAGCTGAAACGTATGGCAGCACAGGGAAAACGAAAAAGTGAGATGGGTGGCGTAAAAAAAAGTAACTGAAAAATGGCTGAAAAATGACATTAATTTTAATGCATCACAACAGTCCGACAAAAAAGAAAAATGAAAACATTGTCCCAGTTTTTCCTCTCGTTTTTTTAATTAAAAATTGTTTGTGGCGCGCATTTTGCATTTTTGAAAAGTGGACAGAGGATGTGTTGCTGTGAATTTTTATTGTGGATTTCCTTTTATTGGGACGAAAAGAATCCTTTACCTTTCCCCACCGCCCCGCTTGTCACTTGAACTGTCAATTACATTTGTGAACCCCTCTTCCACGAATCCCCCCACATCAAACTCATTTTCCTGTGCATGCATGCGAAATTTTCCTTCGATTCTCGTATTTTCGGCTTCATCTTTTTCCGATTTTTTCCGCCCATATTGTACTTATGTATATTCCTCAGTAGCGGCATTTGATTAACATTTAAATTTGCTTTCGGCGTATGTGCAACTGACAGTTGAGTCTGGCTTGGGCTGCGGTACGTTTTCTTTCCATTTCTACTCCAATTTCCCTCGGCCCGTAGCTCGAGTGGAAATTGTGTGCTTATGACACACAATAATCAATTGTTTTAGCCTCACTTATCGAGTGCCAATAGAATCCTAGCTGCGTCCTGTTCTGGACATTCGATTCGGTTCGAGTCAACCCTGGTTATTGATGATGGCTCTGGAAATCGGACTATCCTTCAGCGGTATATTTATATTATTCGTTGCGTCAAATAGTTTATTGTTTATTGAAATGAAATATTATTCTCGGGTGCCTTGTCAATTTGCATGCGTTGATTGCTAAAATGAAGTGTGCTCTCGAAGGCAAATCAAAATGCTGCCGTCCGTTTGACAATCGAAATGATTTCAATTGTTCGAGGGAATAGCGAAAAGTGCACAAAATATTAGGCGAAATATTGCCAAATTCGATGTGTTAATTCAATGAATATACAATTCGTTTTTCCATATTCTGCGTTGTCTGATTTTGATGTGAAAATTTATTGACATATTAATTTATCGGCCTTTTCTTAATACTTAAGTATTTTATTGCTTAAGGGATAAATTGATAAAATTAATTGTTGAAAGAAGTGGAATTATCTCTAAATAAGAATCGATGTAGGAAAGCCAAAGATAGAAAAAGTAAAAAACTGATTGAATTGATTATTTAATTGAGTATGAAACGTAATAAACCAAAAAATGCGATATTTTGCAATGTGTATTGCACCAATTAAAATAACATAAATGTCAAACAACATAAGTAATTAGACAAGAGCGATTATGTGCACTGAATATAGGTAAAATAAATATTTATTTATTGCATAAGGTAAATTAAAGTCAAGACAATTTTGTGTATGGAAATCTTTGTTAAAAACTTTATTGAAAATTAGTAAAAGTTTTACTTACTAGTGATATGATAGAAGGTTTTCAATTCTGTAAAGGAACTTAACTCAAAAACTTCAAAATCTGCGCCATGAGAGTAAGCCATAGTAAATCCTGGCCATAATGGTGGCAGGACTTAAGTACGTGTTGATTATGGTGCGTGTTTGTTATTATTATTGTTGCAGCAACATCTTCTTTTGCTTTCTCGTTGCGGTTAATGGTAGTGGGGAGGTGCAGGAGGGGAGAAAACTTCTACACCATTTACCATATTCCACGACTAGCAGCAAACGTAGTTTTTTATGCAAATATTTAAGAGCATCATCGAAGGCACGGCGAGTGCAAGATTCATTCCACTCAACGCGGTGCAAGTGTGTGTGCTTGCGTGTGCAATAATGCCCTCTGAGTGTGAGTGTGTGTGGGTGAGAAGAGAGGGGGAAGCCCCCCTCCTTAGTCCGTAATCCATATGTAGATATATGTTTATGTCTGTGCACTACACTCGACGATAAAATCGTCATGTAGTCGTAATGTCTGCATCAAATTGCATTTGCCCAACGCCTCTGGCACGTCGCTAACTCTCATTCCCGCCCACTTTTCGCAACCACCCCTATTTCCCACTCTATCTCCCCCATTTTTCCCTAGAGAGGGATATGGGGTCTCCATATGTGTCGACATCGTCAACGCAATGTGTATTTATGCATAGTTTAATGCGGTTCAATGTCTGGTAACGACATCAAAACACAGCCAGGATGGAAAGGAGTCAAGCGGGGAATTCTCCACCCACTAGACACACTGAAGTCATAATCATAATCAGGAATCATAGTCAGTCGCAGTAAAAAGAAGAAGCTGCCCTAAGTTGAATAGATATTTTTATTATTTTCAGATTGAATTCGCATATCGTTAGTAACGGCAAAGATCAAGGGAAATCGGGGAACGGATTGAAAGTGCGCTTGAATGCACGTTAACCAAATCGGATTTGTTTAATATATGATCCGGAATTCGAATTTGATTGCTAAGTGCATTTTATGTGCATATTGATGGTTTGACAATGTTATGACAAGACTTAAGTGGGGGGATTAAATGACAAAATAAGAAAAGTCCTTAAAGGCTTCGATTAGGAGGATTGTATGGAGATTTTAAGAGTAGCAATAAAGGGGAAAGTGGTAATAGGTTCGGGCACAGGAAATTGTTTAATTCTCTGTACTAAATAGTGGTTTAAGAAAATATGTATTGACAGCCAAATTAATTGTAATATATATTCCAATAGTTTTATTTAGTTAACACATGGTGAGAGCAAGGGAAATTAAGATAGAAACTCAAAGAAGGAAACCTTAATTAAATATTTCAAGCCTACTTAAGAAAAGACAAAAGAAATATGACATTGTTAGCCTTTGTTTCAAGCCAATATTAGTTTATCCCTGTCACGACCTTGGTTTTTCCCACTTCGTAAAAGACGCCGCATCCGTGTCATTTGGTTGTCTAGAGGCATTTTATCATTCAGCTGATTTCAAGTACCAGCAGAGATGTATTTCACTCAGTGTCCTGTATCTTGTTTCCTGCGTATCCTCGTGTCCTTCGCCACTCGACGATTTGAAGATGCAAAAATGTCCATTTAACAGAGATTTATGGCAGCCAGCAGGGTTATTTATGGCAATTTGTTTTATTTACACGATATCTGCCAGTGGCCAGATGGAAAGCCACCTCCATTCCCTGCCACTAAGCACTCGCAAATAAATTTGCACAAATTATTATGGGTCATGGGGATTAAATGCAAACACGCCCTGGCAAAAAAAGCGCGGAGATGTGCCTATGGCCATGGTTAAATGGATAAAATTCGATGGGAAAATAGCTTGGGAGTGCGGAATGTAGAGGAAAAACTGGCTACCGGGTCAGTTTATCGCATTTATTGGCGCTCTATATTTTATACATAAATTCTGAGCCACGTTGCGTTGTTGCAGGTGCAGCAGCTGCACACAAAAACAAACTGGCAAACACGGAAACGAACGAAAACTGAAACCAAATGCAAATAGCTTAATACACATTTTTTGGCCTGGCCAAAACAAGCTTTTCCCTTTCTTATTTTACCCTCACCTATATACACATATATCTGCATACATATAAATGGAAAATAGGGAGCGCCGGCAGCATAATGAATGCCACATAAATCCGCTGGCTCCGTGCGCTAGATTTCATGGCTATGATTTTGTAATAAAAATGCATTTTTATTACGAAATAAATTGCATTCCTTTCGCTGCCCTTTCTTTATTTATCATTTATAGCGCTTCTTTGTCAAATTGTTTGGATAGTTGAAGTGGGTGAGATAAGTTTTTTAAATCTTTATTTAAATTCCCACGCAAAAAATTTGAACAAATGCTGAAAAGAATAAATGAAGGATGGAAAATGGTGCCGAAGCAGGCAAATATTAATTAGTTAATTAAGGTTCAATGGCCCAGAAGTGTGACAAACTGGAAACGATGGCTTATTTAGCTGATTATCCTTGGGTTAATGTCGCGTATACGTAATGGGAATTAATTTCGGGTACTAAGCAACTATAATGGAGAACTTCAAGGAAATGGTACCAGGAATATACATCCATTATTGAGTTTAATTAAATATAATTGTTTCAGTAAATTCTAGGGAGGGAAAAATTATTTGGGCTTAGATTTAAGTTTAAAAATGTTTTTTCATATTTTTAAAGTTTTTGTTAATATTATTTAAGCTAAATTAAAGGCTTTAAAGTATTTTAACTGGCAATCTTCACTCGTTCCAACCCATTTAAATTGATTTAGTGTAAACCCCGAAATATATTGCGTATACGCGATGTGAGCCGCTTAGCGTGCAAAACTGTTGCATGCCAAACGGGGTTTCGTGTCGTAAAACCGCAAAAGCCAAGCAGCAACAAAAACGGCCAACAAATGGCAATGCAAATCCAAAATGGCGTCAACTACAAGAACAGCAGCGAGCAACAACAATGTCAATCCCTTTTTAAAAACTTTTATTGTGCAGTCGAGCATAAACAAAAATGGCCCTAAAATAAATACAAATACGAGGACGAGACGGAGACGGAGTCAGAAACACCCATACAGACACACAATATGCCAACGTAAAAACTAATATGCTTTAATGGCTTAGGACTTTCAGGACTTTGAATGGCTGCCCTCACAATGTTATCCTTTTCTTCAGCCTGTGTGTCTCTTGGATTTTGGCGTAAACAAGTCGGATGGATAAAAAGCCATGACAAACAGTAGAACACTGCAAAAAACATGGATTAATTTCAGTTTTATTAAAATTTTCGTTGCGCTCCATTAAAAAAATCTCACAAAAATATTTTTAAGCTATGTGATGTGAAATAATTTTTAATAAATATTCATTTTTAAATGTTTATATATTTCAAAAATGATGAGCATAAAAGCAGGTTGAAGTGCCTTCAAAAATGAAATATAAACTCGTGAATTTTTATAAAA